GTCAACCATTCTTGTCTTGAAAGATTGAAGGATTGTTTCGGTAAGTCAAGTTTTTTTTTTATTAGTTAAATTTTACACAATAAAAGTACTTTATTTATTATTTATAACGTTATACGTATCTTACAATAGCCAAAACTCATTAGTTCACGGTGCGTCTCATTAGTTTGACGTAATAAAATAGTCTTTTTAATAATATTATTGTCAGTGAACAAATTTTTTTTTGGGTCAGTCATTGTTTGCCGATTATGACTAATTTTAAAAAGTAGGGTGTTTTTTCGATTACACAATCAAAATAAAGTTTAAAAAAAGGCCCAAAAAATGAAATCAGCTGATATGTACTTACTATGAACCAATATATATAGTTAATATGTTGAGACAATATTTTAAAGATAATAATATAAATCCTTTAGATGTTTTCAATCAATTAATTCATCACCAAAATCAAATATATTTTACAAGTTTGATTGGTTATTTTTATCAATTTGGAATCGGTACAGTTATTAGTTATAGGTTAGCAAATAAATTTTATATACGATCAACTTTTCAAGTAAAAAAATCATCAAACAATATTGATTTATCTTTAGAATTGATTGAAAATAATTGGTTTGTTGGAAAGATTTCTCTGGCATATTTATATTTTTATGGTTTTGGAGTTAAAGAGGATATACGAAAAGCATTTTTATTATATAATGAATCTGCCAAAAATAAATGTGGTTTAGGCCAATATTTTGTTGGAAAATTTTTTGAAGAAGGTTATGGTGTAGAAAAAAATAATAAAAAAGCTTTTGAATGGTATAGGAAATCAGCTGAAAATGGATCACCTCTTGGTCAATATGGTCTTGGACGATTTTATCAATTTGGAATATATATTGATAAAGATGAAAAAATGGCATTTGAATATTATTTAAAATCTGCTAATGGAGGAAATTTAAATGGTCAAATATATCTTGGAAATTGTTTTGAAAATGGTATAGGTGTTATTAAAGATAAGAAGAAAGCTTTTGAGTTATATTCTAAATCATTTTTCAATGCAGATATTTCTATTACACAAAATTATTTTTTGCGTTATTACAAAAAATATATAAACATCAAAAATAATAACAAGATGGCGCTTGAATGGCATTTAAAATCAGCAGAAAGTGGCAATCTTAATGATCGGAATAATCTTGGTTTTTGCTACCAATATGGTATAGGTATTGCTAAAAATATTAAAAAGGCAATTGAATGGTATTCAAAATCTGCTGATGGTGGTAATTCTAGCGGACAAAATAACCTCGCAGGTTGCTATGTGGATGGCTATTTAGATGATGGAGTAATTGATAAAGAAGAAAAAGCGTTTGAATTATATTTATGTTCCGCTAAAAGTGGTAATCCTGATGCATATAGCAATCTTGGATGGTGTTATCGATATGGTATGGGAGTTACTATAGATGAAAAAAAAGCGCTTGATTGTTATTTAAAATCTGCTAAAAGTGATAATTCTTTTGGACAAGTTAATCTTGGATTGTGTTATTATAATGGAATAGGCATTAGTATAGATCGAAAAAAAGCATTCGAGTGGATTTCTAAGTCTGCTAAGGGTGGTGGTAGTACTGGACAAGATACACTTGGGTGGTGTTTTCAAAATGGCATATGCACTGCCATAGATGAAAATAAAGCATTTAGATGGTATTTTAAAGCTGCTGAAGGTGGAAACCTTAATGGACAAATTAACCTTGGATACTCTTATAAAGACGGAATTGGTGCTCCTATAGATGAAGAAAAGGCTTTTGAGTGGTTTTCAACAGCAGTCTATAATATAGTTAATGAAAACTATAGCTTTAATAACCAATAATTTCAAGTACTTAATTAACATTTATTAGTTGTAGGTTCAAGCAGTAATTTCAATCGACTCGATCTAGGTCATTAGCATTCAGAAATCAAATAGTAGATTCAACACCTGCCGAAATATGATCTCTTTTTATTTAAATGTTTAATAATCAATTAAGTGATTCAGATTTCCTTTTTAATATATTACATCAGAAATTCGATATTGCAAGATGCAACAATCCATGTATTTTTAGGTTGTTCATGCCAGTCTATACAAAATCATATAGAAGATTTAATATTGTTCTAGTAAAAATAGCATTGATAAAGTACAGTACATTAGAGATTTTTTAATATATATTTAAATATTTGATTTTCCAATTTATTTAGAAAAAACACTTAAATTTCGAATCTATTAACACTAGTATATATCATCATAAAATATGTGGTATTTTATTACTATTAAATTTTTTTGCAGTTGTAATAATATTTAAAACTAACTGTTTGCAATAATGTACAGCTCAAATAATTTTAATCATAGTTAGAATTTTAGGTTATACAAAGAATTTTTTCAATATTGACAATACCATTAAAATTTTGAAATATATAGCAACTATTATTATTTACTATTGCATAACCCAATAACACGTTGGTATGGTTGAAGGCGAAAATCAACATGAGTATAATAAGGATCGATCACAACAATAACTACTAACACCAAAAATACAAATTAAATCATAATATTGAAAAGTTTAAGTCGATGCATGGATTGATTTTGCCCAAGTAATTAGGGATATTGGAATTCTACAGGGTGGGTGAAAAGTCCCTAAACGGACCTTTTTTTAATCACTAATAATACTATATTTATGATTACCTGTCCTGTATATGTACATTGCGTACATAGGAATTAATATTAAAAACAATAAAATTAAATATTAGCGATGACAGTAAAAAAGATCCTGTTTAGGGACTTTTCACTCACCCGGTAGATTACGCCACGAGCTTTCTAATATTGATAGGAACACAGATTATACTACATAATTAGATTCTTTACAATTGGTTCTTTACCAATCTGAGGATCATTAGAGTGTAACACTTTTATACTTGTGAACTATAGCTGAGTTTGCTTTATTAAATAAATTTTGCTCTCTTCATATATGTTGCACATCGTAATAGATTATTGTAGATTTGGGGAGTTCTCAAACTTTTTAATCATCAAGTCAAAAAGTGTCGGTGAATAAATTTTACTTAGCGGAAAAATATTTTAAGCGGGTCAAGTGTGTTTATTATTGTAATGTAATTTGTTAAAGGTTATTATATTTTTGTTAGCAAAAAAAGTTGAGTTTGTCATCTCAATTTATAAATTATGTACCATAAACCATATTTTTTTACCTGGCTTGGCAAAATTTCCCATTAATTGAGTATTCAAAAAGATCACACAAGTAGCTTTGTCATGGATCAATCTTTCTTCATCAATGAAGACCAGAAGACAATTACGAATGCTCACCATTTTATAGCCGGCAACAAATTCTACCATTTCGCCTATAATTTCTTCATTTATGCAACAATAAATATCAACGAAGAGACAACATCTAATAAATAATAAATCGCTCAGGCATTAAATGCAATATTTATTTTGATTGTTTATAATAAATGAGCATTGTCACTTTTACTAGCTAATCGCATCGAGAATAAAGTTTGAGAAAACTGATCACATTGGTATGAGGTTTGTGGACGCTCTTAGAATTTACTTAAGTTGAAATAAAATTTCAAACGTAATCCAAGTTGACATTAAATCTAAAAGAAACTTAAGTAGATTCTAAATTTTGATACTGTAATAAATGTGTAATCGATTGCTATAATAATAGTTAAAGTAAATTATATCCTATCGTTATAATGTATTGTAAATACATATTTTGTATTTTTTCCTCTTATTTCAGTATTTATTTAGATCTCTTTTCATCTTTTATACCTTTTTTTTATCTTATGAAGTCTTTTGAATGATATCAATAATCGAAGTCATAACAAATGTAATAAAAATTTACAACCACTTATAACGTTGCAAATTTAATACATATCAAGGTTTTAGATATCAATAATATCCACGGCGATCAAAAACGCTCCCCTGCAAGATTCTCAAAATTAGATGTAAATTTAGTATTATTACAATCGCATAAATTGGATAGTATTCCTTAAACACTCATAGGTATCTATTATTTAATCCCCTTTTCAAGTAGATAATGTTAAATACAATTCTGCAATTGCAAAAATGTATCTGATAGAAATTATTAAAAATATAAAAAAAAAGGAATTGCTTCGTGATACTAGTCCTAGAGCCATAATTGTAAGATGTTTATGTAATGCTTTTTAACGTTTAATTAACTTTCAATGTGCTGCATTATGAATAAATCTTAAAAGCGACTTAAAATTAATTTAGAATCTACTTAATATTATTGTAAGTTCTTTAATAACTCGAGTATGATTTTGGATTTATTACAACCTATGTTTATTCGAAATCAACCTAAGTAGACTTAAATATAACATAATTCTATCCCAAAATTCAATATATACATTGTTATATTTTGAACGTTTAAAATTTACTTTATGGCTGATCGTTTAGATTTTTGATCTTCTTGCCTTTGGTATGAAGAATTTGCTTGAGGATTTGTTCGTGGATTTGTTTGTGAACTTGTTTTAGATCTTGCTTGAGGTTTAGTTTGAGGTTTGGCATGCGATTCATTGGTCTATATTGAACCTTTGTATCATTTGTTAAATTACAAGCCCCTTAAGTGTTCGACAATCTGATTATTTGTGTCAATAATGATTTCTGTGATCTTTTTTTGTGTCATAGCATAAATTATTCTATTTTGAATTGGAAAAATTGGAAAGTTTTTGGAACTTGAATAGTAGGGATAATTGGGTTTCTATGATATTTTCCGTCTTGTTTTTGGGTTTATTTTGACTTAGAAATTTAAGTTTTCGGTGCTAACCATACGATTATACGCGAATGCATTACACAACCTTTTGGTATTGGTTTGTTGGTGATTTATAAATATATAAATCAAATTTGGTGTTGAGCCTTGTAGTTTAGAAAGAAGTGTCAGGGAGCAGGAAAATTAAAAGAAAAGGATGAAATAAGGAGACGACGAAAGAAAAAGAGTGATGAGAGATGATGAGAGAAAAACCAATAGAGGAAAAAGTAAGAATGTGAAAGAAAGTGAAGCAATAAAGAAAGAATAAAAAAAGTTATAGAAAAATAAGGAGATAGGTTAAAGAAAAAATAAGGAAATAAATCAAAGAAAAAAAAAAGCGAAAAGAGAGAAATAATGGTAGATTTAAATAGAAAAATGAGATGTAGTAGTATGTTGATTAATGTATCATATCAAAATTTTGGTTATATTATAATAGACAAGCTATGCGCCTTTGCTTCTAGAGAGTTTTATCAGACCACTAGTCGCTAATAGAAAAATTAAATAGTCAAAATAAGCTGGTGAATTTAGTACAATTAACAAATATATTGTAAATCGTGTTTAAGTATAAATAAATTCTAGTTACTAATCTTCGATGGGTTCTTTCTTTATTTATCGGTTCATCCATCATCAAAATATGCACTCAATTACTCATTTTTAATTCATTCATTTAAATCACATATTTATTGCAAAATAGTGTTTTGGTACAATGTTGCTGGTTATTTTGCTAAAAAAAATAGCACACCATATTTAGATGCTACTAAAATCCAGCGGCTCTATACATGATGCAAGATATTAATCATAACTATCATATTAGGATTTCGTGCAAGTATAGGGTAATCTGTCTATTTCAAATATTAGACATTCTTGATTGTTATTGATAATAATTTACAAGCTGAAAAGTTGTTAATGTTTGTCATTTAGCGTTAAATCGAAAAAATCTGGAGTTGCAGAAACCAATCTTTTTCAATGCTACTTTGGTTGGCTGACATTTAACATTGTATTTCTCAATGAATTTTCAATGAAACGATCAATTAATTTTAATAATTGTTACTATAATAATAATGTTAGTATTGCATATATATGCAAACAAGTATTAAAAATCAGAAAGTTTAAATAGAAAACCTACAGGTAGGTCTTAGGATATGACATCTAGTGTGTAACCTATAGGCAGAACCCTTAATTAGATAATGACTAAAGTTATTGTGTAGCTAGTTGTATTTTTATTAATAGACTTTGTATATAAAAATATAATAATATATTATTAATAAAAGACATACAAGCAAAATTGCTACTTAAACTAAAAAAAAATAGCTAACATAACTATTAATTTATACAAATCAATCCTGGTTGCAAATACACCTAACTTTGATAAACACATTATTTTTATTAGCAAATAAATAAACAATATAAACACAAAAACAACCTTTAGATTTCTAGAATGCCAGTTTATATATCTTAAAAACCACAAACATCTCTATAACATAATAACTAACAAAATTAAACTTATACTATACAAACTAAAACATGCAAAAAATTACAAAAAAACTAATTTATATTATACTATAAATACAGTTATACTTATTTGTTTTGCATATTGTATACAAAAGATATACATTATAGAACAACAATGCAAAACAATCACAAATTAATATACTAGCATTGCTAAAAACAAAGTAATATTTTCTAAACCTATTCTACACTCTATCCTTCATTACTATCAAATATATATATTTCTTCAGGCATATAATATTTAAAATCAATAACATATTTCTAATTTTATCAAAACTATTAATTATTCTAACTTTAACTAATTAACATAAGTTATAAGACTTCAACAACTTCAAAATGTGCAAACTGTAATACATTGATTTTGCTCAATATATTTGTATTTTCAACACCCTATCACAATATACCAACTGCATGAACAGTTTTCAAATTATATAAACTACAAATACAAATTATAAATGATGCTAATCTATGATCAATTCCAAAAATCTACTTAGGCAACTCTATTAATCTTATATTTACCAACATATCTTACATATACCAAATAAAAAAAAAGCTTAACAACTATAATATTTAAGCTATTAAACAATTCTGCAACTATTACAATAACTATATACTCAATTGAGAAGTCTTTTATTATAATATACAAAAAATACAAGAGTCAAAAAATTTAAATAGTTTATAACAATAACCAACACAATTGTTACAGCTGAAATTTATATAGTTTACTTATAAAGTTCAACTCATTTACCATATCTCCAAAAATAACTATTAAGTCAAAATAGATAATTATTTTTATATTTCAAATAACAATTAGAAAAATTATCAAAATAAATCACTGAAACACTATCATTGTCTACTAAAAATATAATAAAAAGAACAACCAATTAATATAATACAAAGAGTGTTCACTATTTTCCTACTCAACAAAAACCTATAAAATTACTGTATCTAAAAACCTTAGAATATTAACTTAAGTAAACAATAAAAAATAACTTTATACTAATCTTTAAGATATACAAAAAGCTAATAAAGAAAAACATGACATCTATACTAATATTTAAAGCAATTATATCAACATGACTTCTTAAAAAAAAAGAGAATACATACTTCTGAAAAATTCTTATCCTAATCTTATTTATATAAACAACACTATGAAATATATACTAGGCACTTAAAAGAAGAAACCAAATACAAGTTAGCATTTATACAAAATACTCAACAATTCTTCAACAGTAAAATAGGTGATTATTGGTTACTTCTATATAATATTAGTTTAAAACACAACCTGCATATCAAATATATATGCTTTATATATAGCAACTGCACTATTACTAACTGTTATTCAAACAACTGCATACTCAAATTATATATAAAACATTAAATCTTTACTTAAGATCTAACAACAACTATTGCTACTTCTGTTTATCAGACAAGAACACTACACAATACTCCAAACTGAGTACACAAAATTGAAATCAGAACTAAAATAGTAAACAAATATATCTTTTTACAACCTACTTACAAGACTAATCTAAAACAATACAACTCTATAAATAAGATATTTATTACAAACATTTCTTATAGCAAAATTTTTTACAATATATACATTCTATTAATGAAATCAGCACCTATTGAACACAATATTAGAAAACTTATCAAACACTTACAACATGCCCAAGTACTAGTAAAATGACATTTACAAATCCAAATGTAATTCTGAAAACAATATCCAATTGACTAGAAAATAATAACTCAATTTATTAGCTACAAAGACAAACCTATTTCAAGAACTTCACATCTTCAAAAGTTTTAACAAAAGTCTTTCAAAATCAAAATGCTCTTAGATAAACTACTTATTTACAAAACTTTAAATAATAGACATTCTAACATATATCTAAATCCAACATATTTATGATACAAAAATTATATTAAAAAAAAATAACCACTAGATTACATGTTTTGCAAACAGTATATTCTTACAACAAATCATATCAAATACACTTAATATCACCTATATTAAATTTCAAATTCTGTCAGAAACAACAGCATACACTGAATGCAATACTAAAGTTACCTCAGTATTTTTAGATACTATTCCTACAACAAAGCTACCAACAACTAATACATATTATACTTCTATCACAAACTTTTTAAAAATATATAAACAAATCTGAAAACACAAATGCACTAACATACCTCATACTTAGAACCAAATCTTAAATGTTATAATCCTAACCAACCCAATGACTACTTAAGCACAACTCTATCCTATTATAAATATTGTACAGAATAAATACAACTAATGGTTTTCAAATTTTATTCAATAAAACATACTTACAATAAACATTATATATATAGACTAGAAGGTTCTGAACCTTTTTAGCAAAGTCTAGGTCCAAAAATAAATTAACTTTAGTCTTTAGTTTTCTATAACATTGTATTTACTTATTTTATATAAAAAATTTATATAATGATAATAAAGAAATAGAGGTCAGACCTCACTTTTAAAATTAAAAAAAAATTTTGCTATGATAAATGATTTTAGACACCAATCTAATGGCAAAATCCTGATACCAATCTAATAGTAAAATCATAATCCTAACCAAAAAAAGTAACCTTTTTTTGGTGGCTATTCTACCCTTGTCAAATCCATCATTCATAATTCTGGTCAAACTTGCAGATCATTTGATCACATTTAATGTTGTTTTGTTCTAGATCTGGCCAAATAATCTACAAATTTGACCAGAATTATTAACAATGAGTCTATTTATCAGATGATGCAAATCCACCAATATGCAGAAAAAAAGTGAAAAAATGCAAAAAAAAACCCTCCAAAAAAACTAATGTCTAAACTAACCTTGGAGCACTAATTAAAAATGATGGGGCTCAACTTTATATATATGAAATAGATGTTTTATATATATATACACAAATATAATAAGCAAAGTCTCTAGGAACTGCACTGTAGATTCAAAAAAATCCTCTATTTTCCTATCTCTAGTAACAACATCGTGCAGCTATCTTATCTTATATGATAATATATATATTGCGATTAATAAATCACATGATCTGAATTTTTTTTTTAGATAGCAATTTAACCTCGTTGCTATGTAAATTATCTAGCTCTGATAGCAATAGCAGTAACATTATCGAGATTTCAATAAAAAATCCTGGTAAACTTGTAAATTTAACTTAGGAATTATATTTGTGTTAGTTTCTATTGTTATAAGCTTTGAAAGTATAAGTTGTTGTATAAATTATACAGCAACTATTCATTTCTGAATTTGGATGCCCTATGTGTCCTATTTGATGATTGCATTTAGGAAGCTGCATTTTAAGGATTGAATTTAGGAATTGCATTAGAGAACTGCATTTTTGGTACTGCATTTTGGGAGCTGCATTTTAGGGATTGGAAAATTGATAATTAAATATTGTCATCTTTCACAAATATTTAGAATCACATTTATACTTTCAGGTTTATTTTCTTTTTTAGTGACATTGGGTTGTTTTAGATATGTATAATTACAGAATTATATCTTATGTGTCATACAAAAATATGTGATATAAATAAGTTTGGTCAGAATTAATTTTTTAATTGTTTAATTTCAAAAAATGACAAATTCAAAGGAAAATTTTAAGTTCTATGCCTGTTCTATGGTAAAATTAGCCCAGGAACATCTTTTACTTAATGGGCATTCATAATTTTATTAGTAAAATTTGAGTAATTTCCAGTACGACATCTTGATTTAATTATGTATAGTTAGTAATTTTAGCAACTTTGGTCAGGTAACTGCCTTAGGCATGTTAATATCATATTCCTACATATTTAATTTACTCTTCATTTTTAATTCTATATATTGCTAATATTCTCACTTATACTATAGTTGACATCAAAGTAATAAATTTCAGCATGCCACATTATTTTACTGATAATATTGTCGCATATACCTACACTATATTCTGATATTGTTAATTAATAATTAATGTGGCATTGCAATAATGGATTTAATTTTATTATAAATTATACTCTTAGCCCATGTGAGCATAGTTCCTACATTCAGGCAAAAAAATCCTAATTATGCTAGGGAATTAATTCTAAAATTGGTTGATAATTCTTTTTTTTTTTTTTTAATGTTAAGGCGAGTAATTGCAACTTAGAAGTTTATTAATAATCAGTCAGCATATAACTATTGTGTACAACAGCTACAGAGGCAATCATGGAAAGAGTGTACAACTAGCCACTCATACAACTTTAG